ATACATCCTACCAAACGACAATTAATTACAAAGAAAAAGAGTATTTTATAACATGAGACTAGGTTTGCACTAACTACTCCACCCCTCTATTCTTTCAAAAGCAAGACATAGATCAGAGTATACTCATAGTTTTTGCTCAAATAATATATTAACACTTGATATAATTATTTTAAAATTTAAAATTTTGACTCCACCTTTCATCATGTCTCGTGAAAAGAAAAAAAAATGATAAAGTTTTAGATATGAAGAAATTCATGTTAGGAGTGTCAATGCGTCACCTACGAATAAACCTTATAGTAAACGATTTAAATTTAGTCAAAGCTTTAATATAGACTTTGAACACCGAATGAAAAAACGAAAAATAAATAAATTGTAACGTGAAAAGGAAAGGGGAGCCAATGAGATAAAGTGTAATAGTATATTGTCTAATAATACTCCAACCATATTCGACTTTTCCACTAAATGACTAATGTTACGATCCTCCCCAGACAAAGACCCAACGTACCAACGCGTCTGTCTCCCTATGTGACTCTCACGGCGGACAACACAAAGTTTGCTAATGCTAATGGCTCGTTAATACGAGAGATACGAGATAACTAATTTAAAAATTAATTTTAAGATAAAATTATTTTATGTTTGATTGAAATCATAGAGTAATTTATTTGAAATTAATTATTTTATGATTGTAATATTGTTTTTATCTTATATTAAGAATAAAATAATAATCTTGAGATATAAGTAGTTTTGGAATAACTTTTTTCATAATCGAATGAGCCCTAAAAGTCTTTTTTCTTTGACGAAAAAAGATCTTCTTTTGAATTAGAATCTGTTTGGATTGACTTAGAAGTTTGTCAAACTTATTTTAAGTCATTTTTAATTTTTGGAAGTATTTGATAAAGTTAAAAATAACTTAAAAATCAAAAGTTGAACTCCCCCTACTTTTTATTTTTTAACCTAAAAGTCATTTAAGTATAACTTTTTTATTTTGACTTAAAAACTATACATTTTCGGCCTATCCAAATGTGGCCACGAAACGAGCACAAAGCAATTATTCTTTCAATTTTTACTAAAATAATATTGAGTACGTATGCGCTTTGCATAAAGTAGCATACGCCAATATTTGGAGATTTAAAAAAAATAAGTCTGTGTTGTATTTTTATATTTGTATTATTTTGTCTTTTGAAAAAATTATAAATATCTATCACTTTACTTAAATGTGAGAGTACATTATTCTTTATCTATTTGACCAAACTGTAATAAATATATCTCTCAATTTTATAATTTAGAATAAAATATATTTTTTGTTAAAAAGTAGTGTTATATTATCGAATTATCGTCTAACAAATGATTTATGTATATCAACATTATCTTATAAATAATGCATATTTACCTTTTTCTTTAACAAATTGAATTCAAAAAATAATAATTCTAAATCTGATTTAATAATTACAAAAATTACCTCACTCATTTTTTTATCCATTCAGTTTCGGCCTAACTAAGAAAAAACTCATTTCATTTTTTATTTGGATCGGACCCAAACCCATTTTATGACCGAGTAGTAGAGGGATTTGATTTTTTCCCATTTGGATCAGGTCTGGACCGATGAAAAAAATGATTGAAGTAATTTTTGAAGTCAGGTGATATTTTTAAAATTAGAAAATCAATTTTAATTTAGAAAGAAAAAAAATCAGTAAATATAGATTCAGAAAAAGCAAACACATATTGTATTATTTATTAGACGATGAGATATATATACACTACTACTTTTTAAATTAAAGATACATTCATTTTTTGACTCGCAAAACTAAGAAAAATATTTTCCCTTTTTCCCCTTTCACCCTAATTCGCTTGACAAAAAAAGATAAAAAGTATTTTTAAATATTCTTATGTGTATATAAATTTTGAACTTTCTAAATACAAGATTAGAGGCAGATTTAGTAATTGAAAGAGTTTAAAATTCACTTTAATGTTTCAAACTCAATTTTCTATCACTATATTTATATTTTCTAAATATTTTTAATAAATATTTTGAATCTACTTGCATTACCTTCAACCTCTATTTTAATTTCTAGGCCATTTAAGAGAAGCTAGCGGTAGAATATTTCAAGTATTTTTTTTAACAATTTTAAATTAAAAGTGTGATAATTGAATATGAGTTATCTTGAGGAAGGCTAATAAATGACGATAATAAAGAGTAAGATTTGAATTTGTTTTATAGTTAGATATGACACAATCAATTACATTGTTTGATTCTACTAATGACTAATCCTTATTTCTTATGTTTTATTATTGTAAATTGATTTTGAGATTAATTAATTTAAACATAGTATACTCTGTTCTCTCTTTCATTCTCTATTAATGAGATTTTATTTTTTGGTTTAGTATTTTCAACGGATTGGCATTGAGATTTTAATTAATTTAGATTTTCGCTCCTTAAAATCTATTACAAGAAGTAATATTTTCTATTAAGATTTTCCATTCATAAAGCTCAAATTTAAAAATTTTAATTAAAAGGGGAGAGAATATACCTATCTTAAATTATGATAAACATTTTTCTTCAACTTCACAAAAAGAGGAAGGACAACTTCCATCAGTTGTGAAAGAAAGTATTTTGTTTACTAATATTTCTAGTTGTGCTATTTATTGGGGGGGGGGGGGGGGGATAAAATCGAATAAAAAACTGCATCAAATTGTAAATTGAGTAAAAAATTTTGACTAGTAATTTAATTTGACTTGATTTGGTATTGAAGAAAAAAAATTGAATTATATTGGGTTCGTTTGGTTTTAACTTCAAAAAGTCTTCTCGAGATCAAATCATCCGACATATATATATATATATATATATATTTGTATGAATATTTTATCTGAAAAATCCAAATTTATTAATTTAGTTTGATTTATAGATTTAAATAAATGATTCGATTTAATTTGATAAGGGACCATGTGAGTTGCACCTAGTATATAAATTATTCTACTAATACTAGTATACATACGTGATAGTTGTAACATTGTGATTCTAATCGTGATGTTATATGAGTCAAAGAAATATTTGGAACAAATCAATAATAGTAGATGGACACTTCATGCTCTCAAATTAGTGATCTTTGAGTTTTTTTAATTGTTCCTTTAATAAAAAATTGTGGATCAATAGCCTTAACTACGATCTAATTTTGTAGACTGCGTTTTTTAGGGAATGTTTACCTAAAACCTAAGTGCAGTGCTATTTAGTAGAATAAAAAATATATACACATGGTGGCGCGTGTATATGACACGACACTAATTAAATTAAGTTATAGTTTTACGTCCTAATATAAGGTGCGAATATATATATATATATATATATATATATATATAAATAAGTTTAGGAGGGACAATAGGATACCCGTAAAGATAGAACGTCTTGAGATTACGGTCATAGTTCAAGGGGTACTTATTATGCCTTTTTCCTTATGATAAAGTGAAACGGAGAGAGAAATATTAATAGTACCATCGACTAGAAAAAGTAATAGTCAGACACCTGATGCTATGAGGGATCCCATGTTAGTATCCGCTTTGACTCATGCAACTACTATGAATAACAATTGACGTTTTCATAATAGTAATGTGCTCCCTTTCATTTGAATATCCACCTACGACTGTGATTGTTATTATTTTTGCAGAAGTTATAACGTCATTCCTTACGACAATCACTGAAATATCACAAAATGATCTAAAAGAGGAAAAAAAAAGATAAATGTAATCCGAGATCATAGAGAAGTGCCACATTACTTTGTATATATCTTGCTTTATATATAGATGGAGTATAAAAATATAATTTATTTTTTAATATCTTGAATCCCTAAAATAATACTTACAATTTTGAGATAAAAGAAATAATTTTTAAAATTTATATCTAATTAAATGGTACAATATAAATTAGAGAAAATATTAATAGTGGCTTGACTTTAAACAACAATCGTAAAAATGGCTCCTTGGTGCATTTAGCCCTATAAAAAAAAACATATCTAGTAATTCAAATTATTCACGAAGAGCCAAATTGAATCGTATAGCATAATTGATGATATGTCATAAAAAGAATCACTTACTTTTAAAAAGGGAATTTGAATATTTTTGGTGAAAAAGTATACCGAATCGCAATAAAATCATAACTGTAAACTAAAGTTGGTAAACATGACTAACAAAAGATATAGTTCCTTTAAATAAAATTAGAATTAATCGAACTTTAAATGCCAATAATGAATATTTCATCTGTTTCTATAATTCTATTTACATGTCCTTCTTACTAAAAGTAAATAGTTCTTAATATTTGTTATTTATAAAATCAATGCATAAACAATATTATTTTTTCTATTTTACTCTCAAGAGTTACTAATTAGTCTTGAAAGTATGAATTTGATCAATATACAAAAACTAAATGACTAGTTCATGTTTATTGGTCAATTTAATTCATCAAAATAAATTAATCTATGCTCATTTACACCTTGTTTGAATGGTTGTTAACCGCTTAGTTTAAATACAATATTTATTTTGATTATTAATTAATTTCTATTGTATCATATCGTTTAAATCCATCGTTAAATAACGATGAAAAGGTAATGTAACGATTATTAGTCTAATTGCGTCGTTATCTTAATATTTTTTTCTCATTTTATCTTTATTTATTATTTAATAATCATATTTTTTTCCTACCTTTTCATAATAGCTCTACTCCGTTCCCTACTTTTTTGATAAGTTTGTCACTCAAATTATAAATATGTGACATTATATAATGACGTACAATTTAAAAATATAAAAAAATAGGTAAACGTGCAGTGCACTTAGATTTGGTGTGCGCGTGGTTTACATTTGAATTTGCAAAACCTACACACACTCACATTAAACACATCTCCCCTTCTGTTTCTGCAACCATTGTACTAAACGTTCATTCAAACAGCTTTACTCTGTTCCAACAAAAACATATATATATATATATAGCGAAGAAGTAGAAAAGCTAACAGTGAGAAGAAGGAGCAAGCAAATATGCCAATCGCCGCCGCCGTCAACTTCCACCCGGTGACGACACGATATGGCGGCGCACTCGCCTTACAACCATCTCCTTCCTTACGTACCTCCGTATCTGTTTGTAATAACGCCGTCAATACTAACGCGGCGCGTGTTGCTTCCCTCTCGCTTTCCATGAATTCCAGCCCTAATTTCACCTCAGGCCGTCGCACATTTCTAATGTTATCCTTCGCTGCTGTTGGAGGTGGCGGTGGAGATAGTGATGATAATTTTAACGGTGGAAATGGAGGCGGTAACGGTGGAGGTGGTGGTGGTGGTGGTGATGGTGGAAATGAGGAGAGTGGCGATCAGAAAAGGAATAAAAAGGAGGCTTTGATGGCGTTGACGGAGGCAGGTAGCGAAATCTACTTCATATTGACTTAAAATCCTGAATACATCTTCGGTAGTTTTATGCATTTATGATCTACAGCAACATATCCAGTATGATCTGCATTTACTGATCTAAATTCTTTGCAGGTAGGTCGTTGGATAGTTTGCCGAAGGATTTGAAGGCGGCTATTGAGGATGGGAGAATACCTGGATCCATAGTATTGAGGTATTTTGAGCTAGAGAAATCTCCATTAATGGCATGGTTGCTTCAATTTGGAGGGTTTAAGGAGCGGCTATTGGCAGATGATCTCTTCCTCGCTAAGGTTGGGATGGAGTGCGGCGTCGGTATTTTCACAAAGGTTGGGACTGGAATTGTAGCTTCTCTAAATTGGCATTTTTAGCACATATAATTGATGGAAATGATCAGTTTCCTCCCTAAAGTTCAATGTTTTCTCTGTTTCATTTGCTCCTTGATTTTTAAAGATATTTGTCATCTTCCTATACTTCTAGCACATTTGAAAGGTGGATCTTTAGTGGTAGGCATACATTTCCGGGTGGTTGGATACTCCTTAACTGTCCGGACCTAACAACTATAGCACTCTCTTTATATTAGTCTTATTTTCTTGTTTACTTTTCAAAATTCGAAGAAAGTGATAGATGGTTAATTTTTTTTCTTTCTACATGTACTTGTGTTATCATTTGGAAATGGAGAAAATTGTAATTTTTACTATAGTTAATAAGTATCCCTCTTTTATTAAAAGTTGAATTAATTTAAGTCATTTAACTTTAGAGGTTGGTCAAAATTGATTTAATTATGGGATGGATGAAGTAATTTGATTGTCCTTTTTGACGCATTTGTATTGTCTTCCTGGATGGGTGGGAGGCATATTATTTTGGATATGGAGAATTCCATTGACTTAGAATATCTAATATGGAAGAACTAGACACTTCTTTTTGGAAAATTAAGAGTGCTGCAAGAGGGTAGAGATATGGGCAGTAAAAGTTGAAGTTTTGGGAGGATAGTTGGCATGTGGCTATTCTCTGTTTGCTGTGAGGTGTTGGGGTAGATGAACAAACCGTCACTAAGAGATTATCAGTAGGTGAGCTTATACTTGTAGGTTATGGAATTGTCTGTTCAGACGATATGAATGCCAACTCATAATAAATGAATAGCACGGGTGATTCATCGACATCGAGCTCAAATTCTGTGTTAATTTGTACTATTTGAGTTTTAGGATGCATTCTTCTTGAAGCACACTTGGGTATAAGAAAAAAATGTGTACTTTGAAGACTTCTGTTTTTCTCCTTTTTAATTAGCCTTTTTCCTTTCATTGTTTTGTGTTAAAATGACTGGATCTTTTGCTGGTGTTTTAGTATTAAGACTTGAGTTAAACCGTGATTGGGATGAGTGCAGGTGAAATTCTACTCATATTGAGGACTCAAGAATTTTTTGGGTGAGTGACAATATAGAATTAGCTAATCGTGTAGGAGATCAAGATGATTGAATGTTGGGAGTGCTTTGTTCTATTATCGTGCAACCTCTAAAAAATAATTGAACCAGGGGAAGTCTATTTATCTTTTCAAGCTGGCTTCTTTAAATAATTGCCGATCATTTTTAAGAATCCTTTGAAATCCTTGAAGTACACTGTGGTCACTCTGACAATAAGAATATTTAATGTTTCTCTTTAGCTATAATAGAATATTGGGTTTTCTAGTTTTTATTTTATCTATGTTATGCTTGGTTAAATATCTGTCTTTTTTTTGGGGAACAATGCATTGTATTCATCCAATAGTGTTCAATACAAAACAAGTAGATGCTAACTATCTACACTCCTATCAATTACAAGAAGCCTATACATGCTACAGCTACAAAACACGAGAAACAATCTTACATAGTGAATAAAAAGACAATACAACAACTTCTCTAATTACAAGACCTAAGGGTATGAATTTGAAGCAAGTAAAGGTCTTTGGAAGCTGGAGATGCTTCTGCCTCTGGTGTGTATATGCAGAACAATTTCCTTGCATAATCTGTCTGCTGAGATACTCCTCCCCCCTGGAATCTGATCACATTCCTGTCTCTCCAAACCAAGTAAACCAGCATGCCAAACACACAGGTAACAATCGCCAGTGTCTAGATTCTTTTAGCTCCTTTGTTTATCCATTGAACTCAGATGACCAGTCACAAATAGGTCTGTGATGACCCTAGCCAGACTAACAATCTGGACCATAGTTCCTTCACATAAGAACAGGCAAAAAACAAATGCTCAAACAATTCATCAGAAAGACCGCAAAAGACACAAGTTTGAGGCACTTGAATTCCATATTTCAGCAGCCTATACACTATAGACAATCTCCCTTTGAGCAGCAAGCCAAAGGTTGAACTAAACCCTTGGGTGCAAATTAGGCTGCAGAATCATACTCTTCCAGGGAACTCTTTGATACTGAGGTGAGATTATGCGATAGCGATACATCCTTTTAATGCTAAAGCCTCCACTCTGCTGGATCTGAGATCCCCCACTGCATTTTTTTTAGCCCTATAATAAGGCCCCTAGTGTCCAATATATTTCTGACAACCTAAGCTGCAGTCTTGGGTATAGGAGAAGATTCCATTGTTTGGTGCTTGATATAGAAGCTATGGATCCATCTGATCTAGAGGCAGTCCTTCATTGCTATAGCCCACAATTGCTTTGTCACAACAGCCTTATTCCAAATATTTGTCTGTTTGCCGATCAGGTAAGAAGACATTTTATGAGAGTAGTGGATTAAATCTATCCTTTCTTTCTGCTGTAAAGCGGGTATATTTGGGTTTGCAAGTTGGATAGCCATGCTCTCGGATTGCAGTGATCCCTCATCCAGTTGAGGGTGGGTGGGGTTGGAGTGGGATGTTTCAGTGGAGTATTTCTGAGGTTGTTTCGTTGGATTCTTATTTGGCCAAAACTGGATTTCCTGAGTGAGATCAACCACTTTTCAGGAAAAAGGAATACATTGAACAAGAATTATATTCGCATAGACCTAACTGATAAAGTTTCCTGTGATGACTAGTCAGAGAGGCATTCATAGCAACTATGAAAAACTTGTTTCTCATGGTGAATAATTTTTAGTTCATAAATGACTCTTTTTCTTGTGCAAGCATGCAATTATTTCATCTTTGCTTTAGGAAGTGCAAAATTCCAATGCCATTTCTCCCGATTATGCTTTTTGTACTGTTAGAAGGCAATCCTCATTGGTCGAATCCTCTTTCTTTCTTGGTCGCTTGCCAAACTCCAACTACTATATTCCTTTTTTGGATTCATGTCCATTCCACACTGTATAATCTACCAACCTTTATTCCCCACATATTACTTTCCTTTTGGGATAAGTCTACTTTTTGATCACTATTACTATGCTTTGTAACATCACCATGGATCCATACATATCCATCTTTATATCTGTGGATGTATGGATCGATAAGAACTTGAGTCAACAATCACCCAAGGGTGTGGCGTAGTGGTCAATGAAGAGTTGAGACAAAAAAACACTAGGTGATTCTTCTCATCTGTCCTAGTTTTGGTGGATAGAGCTATCTAGTACTTGTTGTTGGTGAGAGGTGGCAGCTATCCCGTGGAATTAATCTAGCTGCGTGAAAGCAGACCTGGACACCATGGTCGTAAAAAAAATAAAAATATATAGTCAACAATGTTATAATTTTAAATAATGTTCTATAGAGGAAGTGATTGCAAATGTTCCAACCACCCAATTAACCAGGGACTCTTCCCCAAAGATCTTAAAGGTCCAGCATGATAGGCTGTTCTGCCTGTACTTCACAAAAAAAATAAAAATAGCATCGTGTTACTTCGTTGTTGCAGATCTTTTTCATGCGTCTCCTATATCTATTTATATATGAAATTTGACATTATTTGTCTGTGCTTTTAATTGGTGACTCATTTTTCACCTGCTCTCTGTTTCTGTGATACTGTTAAAATAGTACAGATATTTATCTGTTATTTTGTCTGCTTTGTTCCAGACTGCTGCTGAGTATGAGCGCCGCAGGGAAAACTTTTTTAATGAGCTGGAAATTGTTGTCGCCGACGTGGTACATTGCTCTTCTCATTTTAGCTATGTGTCTCTCTTTGTTGATAATCTCTACTAGATGTCGTTCATCCTTGGTCAATGAGAAACTCAGATTTTAAATGGAAAGTCATTGATGATTCCCACCTCGGTGCTGTTTTTCCTTAGTGAACGATATTTTCATGGATAATCATCAATAATTCTCTCAAAGGTATTGTTAATCCTTGGTAAATGAGACGGTTTGGTTTTAAGATTACATGCTTATCCAGAAATGTGTATCATCTTGTCCATACATGTACGGCTGAAGATGGTTAGCTTCCTCAATGCGGTTGAGTTGCATGATATCCATTCCCTTCTGTGCAACTTTTACTTTTAGGTAGAACAACTACTTGTTTCCAAGCAAGTTTGTGTCAGCTATATATTTCATATTATCATCATACTAAATAAATAAAATAGAAGTGAAAAATTAGTTACACACACATATATAGTAGTAACAATAATAGAATTGAAAGTTCTCTAACAAGTCTAAAACCTATCCTCAACTAGTAGATATCACCTATATGGATCTTTTTCTTGCGTTGTGCCCTATCTTTAGCTATGTTTGCATTGATACCAAGGATTTGTAGGTCTTTCGAGACAATTTCCTTCCATATAATGTTAGGTCTATCCTTCCCTTCTAACATCTTCATTTATCTTAGTTTCGCACCTACGACCGATACATCTGTAGGTTGACATAAAACATGTCCAAACATGGACTTTAGAGCGGCCCAACATTCATTACCATATAGCATTACCAGTCTGTTCTATAGAACTTGCCTTTTAGTTTGGTAGACGTCCTTCTATCACATAACACTCTGGTAGTACTTCTCCAGTACAACCGTTTGATTCCATTCCGTTCTCTTGAAACACCGAGCCTAGATAGCAAGTTTTTTTGCATTTTGCACCACAATTCCATCTAGTTTCACCTCAACTTCTCTCTTCTCAAGCTGATTAAACCTGCAATGCATGCATTCTGTCTCTCTTCTACTTATCTAAAAATCCTTACTCTCTAAAGTGCTTCTCCATAGTTCAAGCTTTAAAAACCCTTGCTAGTTTCGTCAATTAACAAAATATCATCAGCAAATAGCATACACCATGGGATCACTTCTTGTATTGTGTTGGTTAAGCTCGTCCATAACTAAGGCAATCAAGTGTGGACCAAACATTGCATTCGGTCACACAGTTCTATCATTGATATTTTGTGTTTGTTCTGCTTAGGTGATGGCCGTAATAGCAGATTTCATGCTTGTCTATCTTCCTGCTCCAACTGTTTCTCTCCGACCGCGAATGGCTGCTGTTAATGCTGGACGAATTGCCAAGTTCTTTTACAACTGCCCAGATAATGCCTTTCAGGTCACTAATGTTTATCATGCCAAATTTTGTTTGGGTCATACTTGGTTGTACATTAAGTAAGGCTAAACGATAAAATCTGACTCCCTATATTATATGCAGATGGCCCTGCCTGGAACATCATACTCAGTGTTGCAAAGAATAGGTGCAATAGCGGTATGTAATTCTTCTGTTTTCATGCCTCATTCTTGAGAGCTAAAAAACTTCAAAAAGGAATTATTGACTGAATATCTGGTTTATGTTGGATAAAATTTGCAGCGCAATGGGTCTAAACTTTTTGCTGTTGGAACTGCCTCTTCCCTGGTAATATTCACCTCTTCATATTTCATTCTAGATATCTCTGTTACTAATACTTGTTTGTGTTTTCCTTTGTCCTTATATGTTCCAAGTAAACTCATTGTTGATGTTGATTGTTTTTCTGTTGAAGAATACCCTATCACCATTCATCATTTAGTGAAGTTTTTGTTGAGGTTTCCTTGTTAAAAATTAAAAGAGTCTGTTGAGGTTTGTCATTTTTTAAATGGTAAGTGATTTTATTGCTCCAGCCCTAAGGATGTGCTGTAGTTTACACATTGAGTAAAATATATCACATCTCTAGTCTTCTAGGGATTCTATGAGGTCTAAATTTTTGTCTGATTCTTCTACCAGTTCCTCCTACACCAAAGTAAAACAAAAGTATACAATTGAGCTTAATCTTTTGAGTTTTGAATGGAATTGACTGTCTTGAAAATATCTCATGGTACTTTGCTTCTACATTGTCCATCATATGCATTTGCGGTGACTGTGTTCCACCCTTTTGTCTTTCCTTGAATCCTTCTTTTCCTGTCATTTTAGCATCTGTTCTTTAGTCTTAAGCTGTTAAGCATAACTCTGAGAAGATTTACAAAGTTGAGGAAGAGCTTCTATAGGACACTGTAGAAAGAGGTGGCTAGCACTTGCAGTCTTCTCACCACATAAGCAACACAGCAAAATCTCCCTTGAGAGGTTGTTTCTGACACTTCATAATTCATGTAGCACACAAAAGGTTCATATCATCTAAACCGCAGCATGTACCATACACCAACACCTTTTGGCATGTTTTGTTCTCCCAAAATTAATTGCTTTATTGTTGTCCAATGCCTCGACTTTTGGTTGGCCATATCTTCATGCCCTGAAAATACCTACATTTTGTACCTACTCTACGTCTACAATGTACTGATTTCTTATTGGACCTCAAAGACACTGGGTTTTCCTTTATGGCTAGTGAATTGCTATTATAAGATTTCACCCAAGTCCAATTGATCCATCATACGAAGCTTAAAGTTATCTAAATTTAGAAAGACCATGTTTTACACAGCCCATTGCACCATTAAACTCAGCTTAATAATTGACAAATACTTGAAACATAATGGAGTTTTATTTTGAGCTGGTTTTCCTAAGGAAAAATTGCTCTGAGAAATAGTTAAAATTTAAGGAAAGTGGAAAATTTGCTCATTTATGCAAGTGTAAGAGGCAACACTATTTGTCGGGGTTTGGGTAAAGTCACGGAATGGATGGAAATTTTGAAGAGTGTTGCACTCGTTAATATGACATGCAATCTGGGCTCCATTCCTTATGCTGAGGTTAGTTGTTGCACAAACGGATCTCACTGCAGCCTGGTTTAGAACTTTTGTCCTAAGATAATCACATTGACCCTAGATTATTTTGGAAGTTTCTGGAAGGGAAATGAGCTTTTTTTGGGGACTTGAATCACCTACTGTCCCGTGATTATTGTTTTTGGCTTGACCTCTTTCATTAATATGGAAAAGAGAGTTGTGGCTTCTATATTTGTAAAATTTTTTAACTTCACTCTGTACAACAAATATCACTACTCTTTTCTTTGCTTGCCTTTTGTTGAATAATGTCTTCTTTCTTGGGCAAAATTCTTTCACAAGGAAACAAGAGGTCCCAGAGGGTCCTAAATGAGTTAATTTCTTTATAACCAGGTTGGCACATTGGTGACAAATGCAGTACTAAATGCTAAGAAGGCTGTTAATAAGTCTGCTGCTGAAGAAGTGGAGAATTTGCCTGTTGTATCAACCAGTGTAGCTTATGGTGTTTATATGGCAGTTTCCAGCAACCTTCGGTGAGTGTGATTGGATGATTATATACATGTGTTTCCACTATTTTGAGATCTTCATCGTTTATGATTTGTCCCCTCATATTATAGTTTTTCATGTCCTAGAAGCAAACTAGAAGCTTTACCCCAGTTATGCATATCTCTCCACATTGTTATATATTATATTTCCAAAAGATATTCCTCCAAGATAAGCATATTAGTCCAAAAGAGATTCTTCCAAGATAAGCATCTTTCTGAAAAGAATTTGTCACTGGTCACAATATTGTAAAGTATCATGCAAAGTACCCGTTTACTTTCTTAACTTCGTATCTAGAGAAATATATTTCTTTTCCATCTAAAAGTGCAGTATGACTTTTCTGGTGTTGTTATCTTGTGTGCAAAGAGTATTGTTCATAGTTTCAATGAATACGGATTGGTGTTCTAGTGCAGCCATTTGGCTTCCATCTCCTAGCCTGTTATCCCGGAAGGGTTTACTTTTTTTTTTGGGGACTTAAGGATCTTGATATGGCTGCATAATGCGAGAACAATCTTAATATGAGTGGTATTCATGTCATATGTAGTCAGAGAGATCTATGTTGCAAAGTTATCTGTGTACGTAAATACCAGTATAGATGCATAGACGTTAAAATATTTTCCCTTCCTTTCTGCAAGTAAATTTATGAGCACATTTCTTCTTTCTCAGATATCAAGTTGTAGCTGGTGTAATTGAACAACGGATTTTGGAGCCCATGCTACACAAACACAAGTTGATGTTGAGTGCAATGTGCTTTGCTGTGCGAACAGGCAACACATTCTTGGGTTCACTATTGTAAGATCCTTCACTTCTTTCACAAACATCTGTCCTAATTTGCCCAATTTCTTCAACTGATTAATCAACATAACAAAAACTGGAAAATTGGTTTACAGGTGGGTTGATTATGCCCGTTTAATCGGAATTCAAAAGGCTCACGACGAAGCTCCTAGCGAAAAGGCTCATGAGGCATAGGTGCATTCGCTTGGTTTTGAATTTCAGAAAGTCGATGTCTGATTGCTAGACCATTTGAACATTACATGGAGATAGGTTAGTGGGAAATAATTTGCTTTAGCAGAGGTTATAGACCTAGCATCTTCTTAGGCCTCTCAAGTATTTATATGTGTGTTGGTAATTTGAAGATCCTATTCTTTTTTGGGCTGAGATGCTTGTTGCCAAGTTTTTTCTTTACACTCTGTCATTTTTGGTAAACTTTTATAAGTACCAATTATGGGATTACGAAGATATTTGTAAATCGAATGCATCTTTTTTCGCGCTTGGAATTGGTGATATGCATTCATGATTCATGAAAATGAAGAGACTTGGGGTGTGTTTGGTACGTAGGAGAATATTTTCCTCCATACCAAACACACCCTTATCTGAAGTTCAAGCTCAGCATGATTTATATTAGTATTCATAGTTGCTTTTGATGGATTTGTTTCTCAATTCTAATAATTGTGTCCCTTTAATTAATCATACTGGCGTAGGGGTGATTTTGCAAGAATGGCCTTCATTTTGAACTTTTGACCTAACTTATCTCATCGGAAGACTTTTTTGACTTTTAGCCTTGAGGGTTTCCCCAGTGGGGCAAAATGGGGTACACCCTCCGTCTACTCTTAATTGTCATGTTGCGTTTTTCGAAAGTCAATTTGACTAATTTTCAAAGTTAAGTTAGATTACATTAATTTGATATTTCAAAAAAAATAAAATAGATATCAAAAACTATGCGAAAAGTACTATAAATTGCAATTTTTTGCATATCAATATGATGAAAAAATATATCATAAAATATTAGTTAAAATTCTTATAGTTTGACTCTAAAAAAAGGAAACCATGACAATTAAAAGTGGACGGAGGTAGTAATTTTCTGTTGCGCGTGGTTTGCTTTCAATATTATATTGCAAACTTTGTTGGCATTTCTGTTCCACAAGTAAAGGTGTCGAATAGGCGGGTTAAAATACATTGAATTAATAATTAAGGAAAATTATATATGTATTTACAATAAACCGCTTAGTTTAAAATATTACAATTTGTAGCTATAAGTAGGGGTGGGCAATTTAGGGGTGGGCGTTTGGTTTTATCAAACTTCGGTTTGGGTCGGTTCTTCGGTTTTAGAAAAGTGTGCACCGTATTTCAAACCAAACTAATTCGGTTTGGTTCGGTTTTTTCTACTTCGGTACGATTTATTTAGGTGTTTTTAAGTCGATTTTTCGGTGCGAATGAAAAATAAAATGAGGACAAAATCAAAATATAAGATACTTAAAAATTTAAAACTTCGTTAAGGAATGATGTGTCTCTCCATGGAACACTTATTGTGCTAACTAAAAGACTATATTTATCTTTGTAAAGATCATTGTGTCTCCAACTACTTCTCGAGAAAACAAGGACGAAGACAGGTTCCTTTACATAATGTACATTGATAAAAATATGTTTGAATTCCTCTTGGCGATTAATATTTGAAGTTAACTATTGAATTGTAAATTTGTTGCCACTTTGATTTGTTCATGAATGATTTAATTGTTAGTTGAGTTTTTATTTTTAGTTAAGAGAATGCCCATATATATATATTTATTTATTATTTTTTTAATTTTTTTTTTTTTTAAATAAAAGTTCGATTCTTTGGTGCACCGAAGTTGTGAGACCTTTACATTGAACACCGAACCGAAGAACCGAACTTTTGAAAATAACACCAACACCAAACCAAAAAATCAAAACTGTAGAAATTAGTTTGGTCGGTTCAATTTTTCGGTTTTCCGGTATTTATGCTCACCAGTGCGCGCGCACACACACACACATATATATATATATGCGCACGCATTGTCTTAACTAAAAATAAAAAAATCAACTAACAATGAGATCATTCATGAACAAATCAAATAGCAACAAATTTACAATTCAATAGTTTAAAAAAAAAAAAAAGGTTAACTTCAATAGGTCTAGTTATATTTGGTGGGCTAATTTGCCAACTCTATGTATCCATGCATGGGGTCACCCAATAATAGGTCCTAATAATTCCTAACTAAACTTGACAAAAATGTGAGTGAGAAAATCTGAAACAAAAGAAATGACAGATGATTCGAAGGAATTTCAATCTTAAAGCCAAATGTTTAGTTAGCTTATTTAATTTCTGCTCTTTAAATAAGCTAACTAACATCCTTTCTGGTTGTAACTTATGCTATATATGCATCTTCTTGATGCCTATGTGGGCTAAAAAAGTTGAATATTCAAATCTCTTAAGAAAAAAGATCTTGAAAAGAGAATTAAGCTAATATATTTTAAAATATTTTTGGAAATCAGATTTGAGTGAACTTTGGATTAACGTTTTAAAATATATTTGGTCATAGTTTTTGAAAACATATTTCACATTTTTATTTTTGAAAAAACATAAAACGTGACTTATATCAATAAGTTCTAAAAACTATATTAAAAAATACCCACAAGTTTGGCACAAAATTATCATTTTTGTAATGAACTAGATAATACATATTCTAAAATCATAACACGATATTTTTATAAAAACTACTAATAACACAATTATTAGCTACTACAACGCTCACATCAATGCTCATATTAGTTACGGAGATCCATCCGTAAAAATAATCATGATAGTAATGAGTTATTATTTAATATGATCTTTTCACATTCTACAAATAATTCCTTCATGATGAATATAAATTTTCAGATTAGATGACCGAAAAGGGTAATACGTATTAGTGGGAGTCATAAATAGATGAATTGTCTTGTAAAATATAATATTTTGGGATAAGTTTAAATTTTAAAAAGATTTTGCCATAACTTTTTGGCCCAAAACAAGTTTTTAGGAGATTTGACTTTTAAAATTTCACACAAAAAACACAATTATATGGTCAAACAAATTTTGCAAAAAAAATATCTGTTTGCAATATCGATGACTGAATAGATCCTAAGTCTGTACTTTTATCACAATTACTAGGCTAAATTAATGTTTCATACGTACGTAGTTGACTTGGAGAAACTAAAAGTTAGTACATTATTAAGTAATACTCGAGCATCAATATGAGTTGTGATGTAGTGATATGACTGCTTTACTCTTAATTAGAGATCTTGATTCGAGCTTAGGTACGGAGAAAATCCTATTGAGAGCACCACTCCAAATGGTCCTGCATAGGGATGGCAATGAAGCGGGGCGGATGCGGGGCAGAGTGGGTTTAAAGTTATGTGGGGCGGGGCAGGGTAGGTTTAAGGTTGTGTGGGGCGGGTCGGATGCGGGTGGGTTGAAGTGAGTTTTTTAAAAATTAATGTGGGGCGGGGCGGGTATATGTGATTTTATGAGGGTTCAAACTTAATTTTAACTTTTACATGTTATGAGAGTGATAGAACATTATTTATTAAGATAATTTCATTAAAGCTACTAAAATATTCAACATAATAAATGAAAATGGTTCAATGAAAAATAATACAATTTCTTACATATTTCCCTATTGACCTCTAAAAAATAAAATTTTAAGTCACTATCCTATTAAATTAATACAACTTAAAGAAAAAATGAATTTATTTTTATGAATTTTATTTTTAGTATCAAACATAACTAGAAAAAGAAAATATTAAAAAAATTATGCAGGGCAGATCTATGCGGGACGGAGCGAGGTGGGTTGAAAATGAAAAGAGTTGTTATGCGGTGCGAGGCGGGTGGATTAAAAATTTTATGGGTTAAGCTCAACCCACACCATCCCTGCCCTACACCGCCCCATTGCCATCCCTAGCCCTGTAGTGCCGAATGCGCGATCTGAATTTAGTTGAAACTCAAGGGCTCCAGACAAACAAAAAAATTAATACTCAAGCCAGCTGATTAGTGTTTTCTAAAGCATTTAATTCTCTGTTAATTGTTATCTTGTGTTGCACGAAGGGCAGTCTTATTAAAGGAGTTAATAAAATTCACTTCCAAGAAATTTCCAACGTAAAGAAAAAACGTTGACTTGCTTATATGAAGCAACCTTAGTCAGAAAAGAATGTGATCATTTAATTAATTAGTTAATCTTATTTTCTTTTTACGGATTAAAATGAATTATTTTACTCATCAATAATATTTTATCGTGTTGATAAAGTAAAATGAATAATATTTTCAAAGTTACTAGTGATTTATGAGGGTGACTGAGTTGGTGCAATAGGTGATATCGGGAAATCATGGATTTTTTATTTTTTGCCATTGGTTACTGGTTGAGCCACTTGAATGAGATAAGAATCTCTGGAGATCTTTCCTCTCCACTTACTCGTAACGGGCTTTCTTCTGTAGAAGACTTCTTCCGAATGACATAATTGGCCGACACTACGTTCCTCGATCTTCAAAGAAAACTGACTCCTCCTACTCCTTCTTATCCTTTATGATAGGATCCTCCTTGGTCTTACATCCCATAAAGGACGCTAGAGATTGATTTTCTTGTCAACACCGTTTCAACCGAGATCGTCAAATTTACCGCATGCACGTAGGCAAGGGCGGACCCACGTGGATTCTAGGGAGTTCACCCGAACCCCCTTGGCAAAAAATTACACTATATATATAAGGTAAATTTTCTGTGTAGATATATATATTTTGAACCCCTTCAATAACAAGGAGAAACTGATGGTGCAATGGCAAGTCCCCCTGAAATCACGTCACCAATTCAAATTCCAATGATAGTGTTTTATTTTTTTTCAGTTTTTTTTTTATTTGCAGTTCTGTTTTTCAAGTTTTTTTTTAGTTTTTTATTTATTTTATAAAATGTGCTAAAAGTGTGGTTTTAAACCCAAAAGAATTCAAGGGTCCCATTTTTAAAGGCTTATTTACACGTTTATACTTTTATTTTTGAACCCCTGAATAAAAAATCTGGGTCTGCCACTGCACGTAGGTTCCAAAAAAATAAAAATAAAAATAAAAGTTCCTAGATATAGGGTGTGTTTGGTATGAAGGAAAATGTTTTCCTAGAAAATATTTTCTTGGAAAACAAGTTGATTTTTGACTTATTTTCTCATGTTTGGTTAGTGAGTAGAAAATATTTTCCGGAAAAGATTTTTAGTGTTTGATTTATGAATGATTTTTTTTTTTTTGAGAAATATATTTTATTTTACTAGGGTAGAAAATAATTTTTGAAATTGAAAATATTTTTTAAAAACAAACTTAATTTTTTTTGGGGGTGGGTTGAGGGTAGGGGTGAAAAATTGAAATTTTGAAGTTGAAAATATTTTTTAAAAACAAACTTAATTTTTATTTTTTTTGGGGTGGTGGAGGGGGTGCTGGTAGGGGGTCGGTGGGTGGAGGGTCGAGGGTAGGGGTGAAAAAATGAAATTTTGAAATTGAAAATATTTTTAAAAACAAACTTAAATTATTTTTTTGGGGTAGGGGTGGCGAGTAGGGGATGGGTGGGTTGGGGGGGGGGGGGATCGAGTGTAGAGGTGAAAAAATAAAATTTTGAAGTTGAAAATATTTTTAAAAACAAACTCAATCTTTTTCTGGGGAGGGGGGGCAAGCCGGGGGACGGGCGTGGGTGATCGAGGATCGGGATGAAAAAAATAAAAAATTGAAGTTGAAAATATTTTTTAAAAACAATAAAAAAATTGATAGGGGGGGGGGGGGCGAGGGTAGTGGGTGGGGGTAAAAAATAAAAAATTGAAATTAGAAATATCTTTTAAAAATAATTTTTAATATTTTTTTGGGAGGGGGTGGGGGTAGGGGTAGGGGTAGGGGTGAGGGTGGGTAAAAAAATTGAATTTAAAAACAAGCTTTAATTTTATTTTTTTTTGGGGGTTGGTTGGGGGGCTGGTTTGAGGATAGGAACAAAATAAATTGATTTTTTCAACAAAAAAGTAATTGTAGTTTGAAGTTGGAAGAGAGTTTTGGAAAATGTTTTCCTTAAGTTTTGAAGGGAAGTCATTTTCCTTAAATTTGAGGAAAATGAGTTGATTTGGAAAACATTTTCCAAAATATTTAACCCAACCAAACATGAGAAAATTGGAAAACATTTCCAGAAAATATTTTCCTTCGTACCAAACACACCCATAATATTAAAGTTTTAAACGAAAAAGTATCTTTCCTAAATTTTATAAAGTTGGGACTAGAGATACTAAAGTTTGTTTTACATGTTTAGCTCATAGAGTTCGTCGAAAGCCAATAAGACAAATACATTAAGACAAACTATTAGGTTCCAAAAGAAAATGATTGTGTAAATTACCTTTGTCATCTACCTTTTTATTTAGGCGTTAGAGTATTCATTTTGGAGTCCGATTAAATTTTGAATTCGTATATAACAGTATCTTCCCCATACTTTGTCATCTAAGTACCTTTTTATAAGTTGGTGCTCTGTATCTGCATTAGAGTCAAACTAAATTCTGGATTCGCATATGGTAAGGCCCATATTTGTGATGCTCCCAATAGGATTATTTCCATTACCAGGAATTGAACTTGAGACATCTAATTAAGAGTCGAGAGATCTCACCTATCTCATCACAACTGTGGTCAAATTATGAACTAAGTTAGAATTGTTTTTTTATTTAAAACTTGCCAATATATATAACACATAACTCATGCCATAGAACCACATGAGTATATGCTCACTATTTTCCCTTCTTCTTCTCCACCTAGTATTCTCTCAAACATGTCTACATGTGACAAATCTAAACTGATTAGCATTTCCAAAACAATGTTAATTCTTGGTTTAGTTCTATACTTAAGCTTCATTATCTTTTTTGGTGATTCTAATTGTCCATCTTCTGAACTTTTGTCTTCTTTTAGATTGAAACGGACACCTTTTAGTTCTCAACCAAATGTTGCAAAATCCAAAAGTTCCACTAACATTAACCACCTTCTTTTTGGACTTTTAGGGTCACAAAAAGCATGGCACCATAGAAAATCATATATTGAATCATGGTGGAGACCAAATATTACAAAAGGATATCTTTTACTAGATGTTCCTCCTCAAGGTGATGATCTTATCCCATGGTCTTTAAATTCACCTCCTTATAAAATATCAGATGATGTTCCAAAACTTGTTAATGAGACCAAACATGTCGATGCAACGGTTCTAAGGTTGGTTCATGGGATAATGGAGGTGTTTAGAGAGGGACATGAAGGTGTACGATGGGTAGTTATGGGAGATGATGATTCAATATTTTTCGTGGATAATATGGTTGATATTCTTGCACAATATGATCATACGAAATATTATTATTTTGGAGGACATTCGGAATTTATATTATCGAATTATTGGTTCTCATTTAATCAAGCTTTTGGTGGAGCTGGAATTATATTGAGTTATCCTTTGGCTAAAGCATTGGCAAGAGATATGATGTCTTGTTTAAAGAGATATGCTTATTTGAATGCTGCTGATAGAACAACAATGACTTGTATTGCTGATATTGGTGTCAATCTATCTCCTCTTCAAGGCATTCATCAGGTAATTAAGTTAACCATATAATATACAAGTCGAATATTATACATAGAAATAGAAAAAAAAAGGGGGTTGGCCCCTCTTAGAGTAAAGAATGAGATTATCGCGGTTACACTTAACAATATAACATGCTACCTCTAGTGGTGGGTGTATCCAAGGAGTGTCAATTGTCATCTGACACTCTTTTATTGAAAAATTACGTTGTATAGCTAGATGACTAAAAATTCTTGATTGTTTTTGGTATTTTTACTTTTTCTTTATTAATATTTATTTATTATCTTACAGATTGATCTACGTGGTGATTTATCAGGATTTCTATCATCCCATCCAAAATCCTTACTAATGTCTCTTCACCATTTTGACATGGTTGACCCAATATTTCCCTCTATGGATCGTGCACAATCAATATTCCACCTTCAAAATGCTGCACAATATGATCAATCACGTATGTTACAACAAACTATATGTCACCATAGGTCTAAAAGTTGGACATTTTCAGTTTCTTGGGGATACTCAGCTCATATTTATGAGAAAATTATGCCTAGAAGTTGGATACAAAGACCAATTGAAACATTTAAACCATGGCAAAAAAGTCCTAATCCACCACGTTATATGTTTGATGTTAGAAGTACTTCGGCGGATCCATGTGAAGCTCCTCATGTATTTTTCTTCAAGTCCGTTGAGAGAACACCAAGAAATGAAATTCTTACAACATATACTAGAGCATGGCCTCGAGGGATTGGAACTTGTTTGTATGCTGGAAATCATTCTGCAGAGTATGTTTCTGAAATTCATGTTTACTCACCAGCAATAAAACGTATTCAGGTAATGCCTTTTCATTTCCTTTTCCTATCCTCATAAATTCTCAATATATATAGGAGTAGTATATATTAGTTTTACGATAAAATATGTTTTTTTTAAAAATAGTTCATTCAAATTAAATAGCTTTTTTTTTAGATTACTATTTAAATACCATCCCCGTTAGTTCAATGGACTAAATTTGTGTGCAAAAAGAAAAAAAATCCTCTGAGTATTCTTCATTAAGAGTGCACGTATACTCGATATTGGGACTTTAAGCCATACTTGTATATATAAATTTGCAAGTTTTCTACCTCAGAATAACTTTAGATATGTTTGAAATTTTATATGGCATCAGACATAAAGTTGAACTTGAGGCAGAAATATCTAAACTTTATAAAGTTTAGCTTTGTCAAACCTAACTTTTGACATTACATATCTGAAATTATTTCGAAATAAATAAACCTTCAATAATTTTAAAGAAATTGGGTACAAATTAATACTGATAATCAAATATGATACCCCATGATAAATAGAAACTAAGCAATGATATGTGCTATTTGTCAAGAAAGTTGAAATGTACTATTCTATTTTGGGAGGTACTTTCATTCTACTTTAGTATAGCATGCCACTCTTTGTCTTGTAAGTGCTAGTCTAGCTCCCTTTCCTTGACCTTTTATTTTTAATCGGATATTCTCTATTTGCTATAAGTATATCCGATTAAACTTATAAATTGGTCAATTAGTTTATAAATACATTTTTATGACATAAAAGTGCTTATAAGTCAAGTGTTTACTCTCAAAAATCATCTAACAACCATAAGTTAGTCACCTCTAATTTATGATTTAGTTTTATACCTTATAAATATTTTTGGTTAGACCAAACCTTTTACAATTTTATTCATTAACATATATTTTGTAATTTCCAAAATACTCTTCTTAAAACCGAACTTTTACTTATCTATTTATTCTATTTCCATCACCCATTCCTTTTTAATATAATTTTATTTCAGTCATTTTAGTAGAAAAATGCTTAATTATTAGGAATTTTTTTAACTAAAAGCAATAATTGTTTAGTTTGGTTTCAATAATTTTATTTAAACACGTTTTATTGCTTATTTATAAAATCAATTTCAACATCTGAGAGTGCTTTTAACAGTTTTATATCTGCTTATCAACTACTTTTAGAGCATGTTTGACATTGTTGTTGGGAGGTCAAAAATGTTTTCTTTTTGAAAAAAATAGTGTTTGACAAATTCTCAATACTGCTATTAATTAGAAGCAGAAACAGTTTTTCTGCTGTTGAGAAGAAACTAAAAATTTTTGCTTCTTAAAAATAGCAGAAGCAGAAAATGATTTTCTTGAAGACAAAAATATCCCTCCATTTATACATTATTATCAATATATCTCTTATTAATTAATTAACATATCTCATAAGTTTGGATAAGTCTTATTCAAGAATTTTGTTTTTATTTTTTATTTTTTATATGATAATTTTTTATTTTATGTTTATATATTATTATTATTTTGCATGGATTTCATCGATAAATGTTGATGTTTTTTCATACAGAAATATTCTAACACAACTTTTTCATAAATGACGGACATATTTTGTGATTATCTCCCTTAACATGTTTGAATATATATTATATTGTAAAAGAAGCATTGTTTAGTGAAAAAAAACAGATTATAGTATTAGCTTGTGTATGTTTTAAAAATAGGTCATGCCAAATAAAAAATAGTATTAGTTTGATAAGGACTTTAATTTTCTGTAATTAAAGATTCCTTAGACCTTTTGGATTTGCATCAACATCATTTAACGTGTTTTTTTTTAAAAAAGAAATCTAATCATTGATAAATTATGACTTTCATAATTAAGACAAAAGATTGGCACCAAATGTAATAAGTTTATCTATCTTATAGTATATGTTAGCTAATTTTTTTAGCCGTCCAAACTACTACTCTCTCGTCCTAACTTATACGACACTTTTTTCTTTCTTGATATTCAAATTATATTAAATTTGATCAATATTTTTAAAATGTATTTTTTTATATTGACATGAAAATAATTGCAACTTATAATAATTTTCGTATAATTTTTAACTATTTAAATTTAAATTTTAAAATATAGAATTGATTTAATGTAATTTATCTTAAAAAATTAGTTAAATTAACTCTTAATAATCGAATGTATCACATAAATTGAGACATATAACGTAGTATAGATCATGACTCTAAGCATCGCTTGATAATTTGGGACAACAAAGATAATTATGTAATTCGTGAGTAGAAAAAAACTCATTTCATAAAACTAAATATGATTATACTCTTAACAAGTTATTTAATTCATTAGCTGTATTTTCAAATCCTTGGTTGAAATTACACCTAATTAGATCTAATTAACAAAATTACATTAATTTTCTTTATCATTTGTGAATGCTCTTAGGTTGAAACCTGTGACATTTTATTTGGTGGTGGTGGTAGTAGGGGCGGGGGGGGGGGGGGTTGAAAATATTTACATAATATAACCCATCATTATACATAGTATATCAATCTTGTATAAAGTGTATACTAGTGTATACACAATGTTTATACATAAATATGGGTTAAAAGGAAAATATAAAATTCTCGATAGTAATTAACTTACAAAAATCACCTCTATAATTATATAGTTTTATTTATTTTAATTTCTTGTTATTTTAATCTTTTTTCCAGATTGATAGATGTGAATGTTGTGACATCGTTCACAAGGATGGATCCAATAAGGCCGAGGTCAAGTATAGGGAGTGCAAGGAAGATGAGATAATAGCTTGATCGATTAATACTACGTTAATGTTGATTTTATTTTCTCATTTTTCAACCAAGTTTTCTAATATCTTAAATAACTCAAATTAATAAATATTTGAATATGTTGAAAAGAATGTATTCATTTTTTTAAATTTTTTTTGATGAACAACCACTTGGGATCTTCATTTTTTAATTAAAGAAAAATAGAAGCAAAGCTTGAAATAAAAAACTGTACAATTTCAAGTGAAGAAAAAAAAAAATTAAATTTAGAGAAAATATACATAGTTGGTTGTAAAATAAACGTGGCATACAAAAAAAGATTTCCATAATCAAATTGTTGGTATATCCTGGAATAGGAGATTTTTTGGTTCATATATATAGCCACAGAAAATGAAGGGGTGCTTCGGGATGGATCAGTTGGTTTGGAGGATAGTCATTCACACGGATGACCCGGGATCGATCCCCCCTTAATGTCTTTTGAGTCGAGTATGTTGCATAGCACTTGCCTAGTGCGGTTTACTTTCCCTCCTCAAATACCTTTTGAGTCGAATTTGTTGCATAGCACTTGCCTAGTGCGGTTTACATTCGAGTCTGTTGCATAATACTTGCCTAGTGCGGTTTACATTCCCTATGTGATTTGCAACCACTATTTGCCTGGTGCGATTTATATTCCCTATCTGATTTGAAGTAAATTGTAGCGGCTATGGATTATGTAATCAAATATGTTTGCTAACTAAGGTGACAAGCCTATACAAAAAGGAAAATTCCTTTTGGCCAGAATGGTAAAATAACATATTACACACTATGTTATTTTACATTTTTGAATATTTTTACCCTTTTAACTTTAATACCTTTTAATTAAAAAATGAAAAAAAAATAGTTTATTTTAAAATAAAAAGGATATTATAGACTTTTTAAATTTCTGACCAAATTATAACCAAATTTTCTGGCCATTTATCACTACTCGAATGGAAAGACTACAAATTCTCTTGTTTTATGGGATTTTTTTTTATATTCTTTAATCTTTCTAAGAAACTTTTTTTTATGATCTATAAAAATTGAATTGACGCTTCAATATGAAAAAATGTTATACGTTGTGCACTAAAAAGGTTGTCAAGTAGGGGTGCGCATCGGTCGGTTTGGTTCGATTTTATGTGTTATTGGTTCGGTTTATCGGTTTGTAAATACGTCAAACCAATAACCAAACCAATAACATATTTCTTATCGGTTTTTGGTTAATCGGTTTTTGGTACTTAATGGTTCGGTTTTCGGTTTAACCAATAAGAAAATACTCATAAATATTATATACACGATAAGAAAATTTTCATATAAACCATATGATTTTTCCAGCATTTGGCATGAAAGTATTAATCATAAAAGTAACAATCATTTTTCTTGCAAGTTTACACACTAGACACATTCAAAGGAAAAAGTGTGAAAGTAACAATCGTTTAACCATTAACACTAAGACTAGTAAATTTAGTATACTCTTATTGGATTATCGGTTTAACTATTAACAAAAATCATAAAACCGGAAACCGAACCAATAATCCAATAATTTTTTTTGTAAAACCGTTTAAAAACCGTTAGTCCAATAACCCAATATCAATAAACCAATAGTGTTTTTTCGGTTTAATTTATTGGTTAAATCGATTTTTGCACACCCCTATTGTCAAGTAGCATACATATGTGTTCGATGCTTCGCTTGAGGCTAATTGGGACCAAATTGATGTAAACTTGTATATATAATTTTTTATTTGAAATTTTTGATTTGTCGTTCAATATTTATATTTATTAGATTGTATTAAATTCTTTTTCATTTTGAATTTTCTTTTCTTCTTAAATTGATACAATTAATTGTATTTATGTATCAGAATATATATATATATATATATATATATATATATATATATATATATATATATATATATTCAAAAAAGTTGTTTGATAACAGAAAAAATGATAAAACCATTATCAGATTGTATCGGTGTATTGAAAAATAATAATTGATACAACTATTATTAGAAAAAATTATATTTACTTTAGGGGTTATACAATATTCAAACATTGTATTGATGTTTTTTTGCGTTTGTGTATTTATTTTAGAAGTGATACACTGTATGTGTATCTACGTTTCAATTTCAAAGCCAATGCGTGTATCTGTGTGCAAGTTTGGGAAAGAGAGAACAAAAGCGAATGAGATTTGAGAGAGATATATATGAGATTGTATATATATGATCTACGTATCTATGTTTCCTTAGATGTAAGTTGTATCTTCGGTTCTCTCTTTTAATAGATATCTCTCTAGCTCGATCCCAATCTCCTATCTCTCTCTAAAATTGTTGCTATGACTTGTATTTAGGCAAATTATGGTTGCTATTCATAATTATGGTCAAAACTATACTTATTTATGAAAATTCCCTTTTAAAAAAAATTAAACTGGACGAATATGCAGTTCAAATTGACATATGCGAAACTTTATGTCAATTGATTTTTTAAGTTAGGTACTCAAATAAATTATAAGAAAATAAATAAATATTTAAAAAACTTAGTAAGAATTGGACGTGTTGAGTTATGACCTGACCTATTTCAATCCAAGTATCTTTAATATGTAATCAATAATCCATTCATTTATTAACTCCATTCATTTTAACACATCAGAAATTCAATCCGATCCATCTATTTAATGCCCTAGTTTTGAATTTTGATGAGTGTACCACAACACAAGCTATATGGTTATCGTCTCCTTAGAAAAATGGGATGGCAGATATTTTACTGATATTTTACTTTGATACATTCTTTTATCAATATTTTTTCTATATATTTGTTTATGGAAAATAAAGACTCAGTTTTTTTCGTTAATATTTTAAGTTTGACAAGTACTTTATTTATTCAATAATGTGTGTTCCTTTCATTGTAAATCAAAATAGAATTTCTTGAAATTCCTTATAAATCATGTATATATGCTACAAATTTATGTGTGTTACACATTTTTTCAGCAATTTTGAATTAAATACACAACTATTATCGCTATAGATAATTAAGAAGAAAAAATATCGGCATAAATGCACATATAATAACTTGATGAATTTATCAAGCTATTATCTCATCTTCCTTACATTCCCTATACTTGATATCAGCCTTATTCGATCCAGCCTCATGAATTACGTCACAACATTCACATCTATCGATCTGAAAAAAAAATATATGAAAAAAATTGTGATTGGTTGACTTTTAATTAATGCTACATGCATGTTGTTTATGCACGAAAGAAGCACTAAAACCAAACAAAAGAAAGTTTAGTCCTTAATATGATGTACAAACGCCTTATTTTATGAATTAAATATATATAGGGTATACCTAATTCCACCTTTTAAATGTAATTAATTTTAGAATTTACAAAACAAAATTATACAGAAAAAATAGAAGCACATACGAAAGGAGATGCATCTTAGCTAATTTTTTTATATGAGAAAAATCTACAACTTCAAAAAAAAAAAATCACAAAAAAATAATGATTAATGTGTAATAAGTTTAATCAGGACATAAGTTGCAAGTTATTAGTTTTCTTCAACTTTTAGCTATTCACTTAGGAATTGTTCAAAAGATTAATTTATATGCCATTGACTTAATTAAAAAAACTCATGACATTATTGCAGAAGAGAACTTATAAAAAATTTATAAAACTTAGATGATGCCATATGGGATCAGAGTTTGTCAATTTTAGAATATATTCTATCTATATGTAAAATTCTCTAAAAAATTGTTTACTTATTCCTTCATTATATGATTGCATTTTTAAATATATGTATTTTGAGTAACTCTCAATTAATCTTTCTAGTTAAACTTATATAGAAATTAGTGAGAAAAAGTTAAAAAAATCATTACCTCAATACGTTTTATTGCTGGTGAGTAAACATGAATTTCTGATACATACTCTGCAGAATGATTTCCAGTAAACGAACAATTTCCAATTCCTCGAGGCCATGCTCTAACATAGGTAGTAAGAATTTCATTTCTTGGAGTTCTCTCAACAGACTTAAAGAAAAAAACATGAGGAGCTTCACAAGGATCCCACGAAGGTCTCCTAGTATCAAACATGTAATGTGGTGGCTTAGGACTTTTTCCCCATGTCTTGAATGTTTCAATTGGATTTTGTAACCAACTTCTAGGCATAATTTTCTCATAAATATGTGCCGAGTATCCCCATGAAATTGAAAATGTCCAACTAGTAGACCTTTTGTGACAAATTGTTTGTTGTAACATTCGTGATTGATCATAATTTGCAGCATTTAGGAGATGATATCCTGATTGTGCACGATCCATAGAGGGAAAAATTGGGTCAACCATGTCAAAATGATGAAGTGACATTAATAGAGACTTTGGATGAGATGATAGAAATCCTGATAGATCACCACGTAAATCAATCTGCAAATCAAATTTCCAAGAATTAATACTTGTTAAAAAGTATGACATTTTCACAAACTTCTAAGCTAGTTTGACTGGCTTAAAAGCGCCTTTTTTATATTTATTTTCACATTTAGCAAAACAAAAACAATATTTTTACCTGATGAACACCTAAAAGAGGAGAAAGATTGACACCAATATCAGCAATGCAAGTCATTGTTGTTTTATCAGCAGCATTCAAATGAGCATATCTCTTTAAACAAGACATCATATCTCTTGCCAATGCTTTAGCCAAAGGATAACTCAATATAAATCCAGCACCACCAAAACCTTGCTTAAATGAGTACCAATAATTTGATAATATAAATTCCGACTGTCCTCCAAAATAATAATATTTCGTATGATCATATTGTGCAAGAATATCAATCATATTATCCAAGAAAAATATTGAATCATCATCTCCCATAACTAGCCATCTTACACCTTCATATTCCTCTCTAAACACCTCCATTATCCCATGAACCAACCTTAGAACCGTTGCATCGACATGTTTGGTCTCATCAACAAGTTTTGGAACATCATCTGATATTTTATAAGGAGGTGAATTTAAAGACCATGGAAGAAGATCACCTTGAGGAGGAACATCTAGTAAAAGATATCCTTTTGTAACATTTGGTCTCCACCATGATTCAATATATGATTTTCTATGGTGCCATGCTTTTTGTGACCCTAAAAGACCAAAAAGAAGGTGACTAATGTTAGTGGAACTTTTGGATTGTGCAACATTTGATGATGTACTTGTTTGAGAATCATAAGAAGGTAATGTTGTGAATTTTAATGAAGACAAAAGATCAGATGATGGACAACTAGAGTCATTGAAAACAATGATGGTTGTCACATATAAGACTAGACCACAAATTAGGACTGTTTTGCAAATGCTAAGGACATTGGAGTTGTCAAATTTAGACATATTGTTTGAGAGAATATTGAGTAGAGAGAACTATAGAATTGAAACAAATGAATCAATGATCATTTGATTCTTATAATATGAGTTATTTTCCCTTTACAAGGTTTTAAGGGATGAGTCCATCTCCACCCCCACCCTTTACCCCCCTCCCCCCCCCCCCCCCCCCCACACACACACAATAGAAAAACTCTTTTTCATTTGGAAGTTAACAATGATTTGTATGTGCTAACAATATTTGCCACTTTTGCTTTCTACAAATTCTTTGACTTATTAAAATATTGTTGTTGTTAATTTTTCCTAAACATGGTTTGACTTTCTAAAGCCTAAGTACTTTTGTATATTTAATCCCAATTTTCTTAGTATTTGTGACATGGTTTAACTTAATTATTGATAATGTAATGATCATTTTTTTGCACATCATCAAATATTAATTAACTTGTTATAACAAGTTACTGCTATTTTATTATGATGATTAATTAGTTTCACTTACAAATACTTATCTTTTATGTGACCTGATAATGTTAATATTTTGCGTGGTGATGTACCATTTTAATAAATTATTTGGGGCGAAAAGGACTAGTATGGTATGTTTTTTATTCCATGTCTTAAATGTCAAGAGTTTGCTACAAGTAGTAATATCTATTTCTATTTAATCTTATTAATTTATATATTTGAAAATAATATTTAGTGGAACATTTAACTTCAAAAATTTGTCTAACTTTAAAATAATTTAAGAGTGACAAATGAAGTCAGCTTATACTTTTTCTTATCAAGATATTCTATGTAAAGGTTGCTTCATGGAGTCTCAACTCATGTGCTATAATCCTTAAATTAAACAAAGTCTACTATCTCTTTAAGTTTACCACAAGGAATTTTTAGGAATTGCATCTCTAAGTTATCGAGCAACTCCAATTCATAGAATAATGTTTTATATATAGAGAATAGCTTCAAAATGACTAATCCTTGAAATAAATTAAGTAGTTGTTTTGATTATTAGTGTGCTAATTTACTCAAAGCAATTACTTTGTCCGTTCACTTTTGCTTGTTAATTATTTCAAAAATATATTTTTTATATTTACTTGTTCCTTTTAACATATATTAGGAGAAAACAACTTTTTCCTCCATATTTTACACTTCTCGCATTAGTTATTTATATCCTAAATTATTTTTCAAGATCTAATACTAACACTCTGTTTGGATCATTGTTATCCATTGTATTGTATTGTATCGATTGTTACCATACCTACAATGTTTGTTTTGATTGTTACTTAAAGTGTATTGTATTGTATTGTTATATTTCATTGTTACGAAACAATGAAAACCCCCATTTATGGAACAACTGATTTGGTGTGTTCCCATTGTTACTTAATTCCTTTTTCCAATTATATCCTTACATAATATTTCATAATACTATTTTACCCTTTACCCTAGATTATTTAATTCTAGTTAAACCTCCTACCCTAGAAGAATTAAGGATATTTTAGTAAATTTATAAATTATAATACAGTACGATACAGTCAAACCAAACAATAAAAATGTTATTAAACAACAGCAAACAATACAGTCTAGCCAAACATTGTATCTACCATATAGTACCGTGCAATAGAGTACAGTACAATACAATACATTATGAAACAATAGGTAACAATGATCCAAACATAGTGTAAAACATTATGTAATATGTATATTATAGTCTAATACTCGTATTAATCATTATTCCTTCTGTTCATCTTTATTTGTGCACTATGCTATTTTGGGATGTTCAACAATACTTGTCCACCTTATAAAATTACTCTCTCCGTCCAATAATAGTTATCCATTATACTATTTGTTTAGAAAAAGACAACTATTATTGAACAGTATGAGTATTTTTGTAAGGAAAAATATCTTTTAGGAAAAGATAACTATTGTTAAGTTTACCACAAGGAATTTTTAGGAATTGCATCTCTAAGTTATCGAGCAACTCCAATTCATAGAATAATGTTTTATATATAGAGAATAGCTTCAAAATGACTAATCCTTGAAATAAATTAAGTAGTTGTTTTGATTATTAGTGTGCTAATTTACTCAAAGCAATTACTTTGTCCGTTCACTTTTGCTTGTTAATTATTTCAAAAATATATTTTTTATATTTACTTGTTCCTTTTAACATATATTAGGAGAAAACAACTTTTTCCTCCATATTTTACACTTCTCGCATTAGTTATTTATATCCTAAATCATTTTTCAAGATCTAATATTAAAACATTATATAATATGGATTATTATAGTCTAATACTTGTATTAATCATTATTTTCTCTGTCCATCTTTATTTGTCCACTATACTATTTTGGAATGTTCAACAATACTTGTCCGATATAAAAATTAATGAATAGTTTATCATGTTGTCTCTATTTTACCCTTGCTATTAAATACTACTAGTATTCGTGCCCGCACGTTGCACGAAAAATACTAAGTATTTATTCATAATAAGAATATATTACTTAGAAAATTCAATAGTCACAAAAGAGCATAAAAAATCTTGCTTTTGTTATATTATAATTTATAATCTTCTTACTAAAAAAAAATACATTATCAACACTCATTATATGTTTCAAGCAAAAATATAAAATTTCAAGCTAAAATAACGTAATGATTGTACTTTGAATTTAATTAGACAATAGATTCTTTGAATGTCGATGAAAGTAAAATAATATTATTCTTACAATCTTCTTATCAATCGTCTCTTTGCTGATAAGTATATTGATTTGAAAGCTTTGTGAGCATTTGCGAAAATAATTTTGTGCCGCAAGATATCTCGAATGCATCTTAGAAGATTAACTGAAGTTATTATTGCACGTATATTTTGACATTCTATAAAATAAGTCAATTATTTTTAATAAAAGATGCATATTGAATATAAAGAATACAGTCTTAATCAATGGTCCATGATCAATGGTAGACAATATTAATATGATAGATCTAATTAGTCCTAACCACTTTTAATTTAAAATTTAATATATTTATATAAATTACGTTAACTACTTCCAATTCTAGAAAATAAGAAATAGTGATTTTCATTTAAGTTGCAATCTAAAGACGAATGTCAAAGTATAATTATGTTGAATAGCTCAAAGCTCTTCGTCCACATTCTAATAAATAAAGTGTGAAAGTAATGCAAACCATCAATTAATTAGAAGAAAAATAGGGAGAGGGAAATATTCTATCATAGAGACAATTTTTATTATTAATTTCTTATTAATGTAAGCATTTTTATGATGTTATGATCAAAAAATGTATAAAATATCAAAATGCATTAATAATAAAGATCATAAATACATCTTAAATATTCAAACTAAAAGATTCAACTAATATATTAAAATTGTAATGAATAATAATAAAATATATGCCGGGAGTTGGTACAGAGTAAGAAAAAAAAATCATCACATTATAAATGAACAATTATTAGAATATGTGGAAGAATTGTTGACATATAAAATCAACAATCGAAAAAGGGAGCATGAAGTGAAGCAGTGAATATTTCAAAGTTCCCTCCCTTTTAAAACAATAAATTTAAAATGACTTTCATTATATTCATAATTTATATATAATTTATCCAGATTTGAAAAGTTATCAAAAATCATAATTTTGATGAAACCATGAGTAAAACATAAAAGTTATAAGCAGTTTGAAAAGTTGCAATCAACTTCAAATTCAAAAATCTCAATAAGATATGAATTATAAGTAATTCAAATTCAAAAAATAAAGTAGAAAGAGTTAATTTGGAACACATTAAAATTTGATTTGTTTTTAAAGAGTAATTTGTGTATTTGTGTGTGCGCACGGTTAGTGGTTGAATTATTATTTTTGGTCATATTAGGAAAAAAGCACTAAGAAATATATTTCAATTTAAAGATAAATAGATCAATTTAACCCATGTATGAAATAACTGACCTTGTAATTGTAATAAAGAAGTAGTTGCTAATTTACTATAAAATAGAGTTAAAAAATATGTGATTTAAAATTTTTGAAGTTCAAATTTTTTGGTTTACATTCCTGTTTTGAAATTTAATTTAATTATTATTTCATTATTTATTTTTATTTTTTAATTGGAATTATATCTTTACAAAAAACTGTTTTTTTAAAACTGTTTTAAATTGCTATTTTGTTTTAAAATGGAATTTATTATTTAAATTAACTAAAGACAATTATTAAGTTATTGAATTTGAATTTATTATTTAAAATAACTAAAAATAATAAAATTCAAGAATAATTGTGGTGGTGACACGTGTTGTTTTTTCCTCTCCTTTTATATATAGATAGATTTTTATTTTTATTTTTTTAATTGGAATTATATCTTTACAAAAAACTGTTTTTTTAAAACTGTTTTAAATTGCTATTTTGTTTTAAAATGGAATTTATTATTTAAATTAACTAAAGACAATTAAGTTATTGAATTTGAATTTATTATTTAAAATAACTAAAAATAATAAAATTCAAGAATAATTGTGGTGGTGACACGTGTTGTTTTTTCCTCTCCTTTTATATATAGATAGATATTTATTTTTCAATATTTAGTTGACTTATAATTAATAAGGGTGATTTGGTAAAATTACACATATCATTTACTGCTTCTTAATTTCTATGCTAAATTAATAGTGGACAAGTATTATTAGACAAATGAAGTATTTTTTAACGGGTGGTTGCAAAATTCAAAGAGAACATTTAAAAGTGAGGGACTAGTTAGTTAATCCTAGAGCTACAAAGTTGTTCTTTTCTGACTCAATTGTTATGAATTTCAATCCCGTTTAATTATATTCCGTATTCTTAAAGGTGATTTTAATTTAGAATGAGATGATTTCTGTTTCACTAATTTGTGAATATTTTAAATCGATACAAATAACAAAAAGTTGGTCAATATTTATAGCATATATTATCAACAAATGAATGATTAGTTTTGTAGTCATTTATGGTTGCTTTCCTTGATGAGAGGTAGACCAAGTATTCAAAATTGTTTATGATTTTAGAATTCTAATTCTTTTAATTTGAAGGATTTTAAATTAATAAATTTTATACATT